GGAGCTGCCATAATAAATACATAGACATTTCAGGAAGAGTAAAGTACTAAAATCCAGTTCATCAAAGATCATCTTCAAGTCTCGCTTCCCGTCAGCCACCTACTTTCCCAGGATCCAGCGAAATCCAACCACTGCTACCTCTTGGCTAAAGGCAGCTGGCTAACCAGCCACCACCCAACAAGCCCTATTCTCTCATGCCAATCAGCACTGAGTGTCCCTAAGAAACCCGAGCTGCGTGGCCCAACACAAGTGGGAAAAGGGGCGGGGAGGGAACCTTCATTTGCCCTCACCTTCAGAGGCCAGCTCACCTGGACTGAACCTGCATTGGAAGAACTCTCCGTCTCACCAGGTCTGAGATCTTTGGTTCCCGGCAGGCTAGGGATAAAAGAGACAGCGCTGGAGATTCTTGTTCCATTTTAACTGCTCCCGTCATTCAGTGCAGACGCTGACCTGACCACCTTTTCTGGACACCGCACGTTCCCCAGGCTCTCAGAGGTGGGACGTGTGCAAGCTTGGAGAGCTTAGAAGAAGCACAACTGATACCCCTGCTGAAGAGCCCAGGTGTACACTTCGGCAGAGCTCTCCACCTGTGTGGTTTGGAACAATGGCGGCTAACAGACTAGGATTACCCGGACACATAAATAGTATTTGTAAACTTGGTCAAAATGGCATAAAAGTCAAAGCCAAGGTTCTGAAATCTAGCCCAACAAAGGGAATTACAAGGTTCTCATGTAAACGCAGACAGCGGTGTCAACCGGTACGTCTTGGGTTGCTTCCTTGCAAGGAAGGCTCCTAACAACCCTTTGAGGGCGAGTCAAAGCCCAGTTTAACTTTCAAGTCTTTTCTTCTTCCCCAGGAAAAAGAAATCCTCCCCACGTCACTTTCTCAATCAAGCAGCCAACATTCATCTCATTAGCAACCTAGGGAACTGGGGTTGCATTAACTTGTAAGAGAAGAGTTGACAAAAATCTCCACGGGCATATGGGACACCCTTTCCATGCTTAATGAAACCAAGAATCGGAGAGTCTGTGCTGGTGGGGATGAAAGTCGCTTCTGGCTCGAGTCTAAAGAGATTTATTCCTTTCACAAACCACCCTCTTTCATTCCTTTTTCCCATGATTAAGGTTGTTGACAAATACCCAAAAGGGAAAGTGGAGGATTGAGGCAATTATCTGGATAATCTAGGCCAAGGACATATCCCCACTGCCAAGGGGTAAGGGCCAAACTCCTCTATACAACATTCCTTTGTTTTCTGGTCCCCAACCACCTTTTTTCATTTATCTCCCAGATTGCCTCACTTTGAGTTGACATGATTCTTTCACTCCTGCCTATGGTTTTCTTCTCCTTTGTTTTCCAACTAGATTATCGCCCCAGCTCCTCTTCACCTCTACAAACCCGCCCCAGCCACCCAGACGGGCTCCAAGCCTCCTCACTGTGTGCAATTGTCCCTGCTCCAGGCATTAGGGTCTTTCCCTTCTCTAAACGTGCACTGCCCATGTTTAGAGCTCTGCCTTGGATGGTCAAGAGTTTTCTGCCTTTTAAAGATGCTGGTAAACATTTTAACATCTCAAACCTCCCTCCACCTAGGCTGGCAGGAATGGTGTGTCCATCTTGTTTCATTTCCTGCACGAACTTCACGTTGCATAGAGAGGAGATAAATGTAGCCATAAAAATGCATCCTGATTGCTTCAATCCAGTCCTTGGGTTTGCATATTGAAACTCAGCCCTGTCATCTTTCCTAAACTGCTCTGATAACCACATACTGTTCTCGATCACCTCAAGATGTTGTGTCACAATCCACTTGAGTATTAGGGTGAGCATGTAATGGTCACATCTTCACCTTTTTGGCAGACCAAAACAGAAGCAAATATACATGGGGTGGTCTCCAACCTAAGATGAATAAATACATGGTTCCAGTGAGAACTTAGGGAGAAAGGAATTTTCCCAGCAGCTCAGACACGTGGATGGGAGCTACCGAAGTCCAGCAACTCCACCTCTATTTCTGTAGCCTTCGGAAGTCTTTGCAAGTTACCTTTTATGCAGATGGGCTGCTTCCCTGACCACTCTCCACTCTGCTGGCAAGTTCTGTTCTCGTTGCCACTGAGAACATACGAGCTGTTACAGAAGAAGGAGAAGACGGTGCCAACTTTGGCATGGCGCCCATTGATGAGCCCAGGGCCGCCTGTTATTTTCTTGTATCCATTGACTGGACCCCCAGGGTCTGAGCAGTTTCTTTCTTCAATGACTAAAGGGAGAATGAAAGAACAGGAGAGCTATTAAAAGTCTGAAGCATTCCATTTTAGGATCGAATCTTTTCACGTTTAACTGAATGAAATAGGCAGTGACACGGAGCCTGCTAACAATGGCACTCAACAGAATTACCAAGAGAACATGCACAATAGAAAATGCATGTATTAGTCATATCTTCACCTTTTTAAACAACTTATTTTTAAATAAAAAATAATTTCATTCTCTATGTAAAGAAATTTGACACCACAACGGGCTCTCATATGATCATGTTCATTTCTTTCTCCAAGTGTGGGAGCTGGGCAGGCTTGGACAAAATAACCATTTCACCTAGATTTTATGATCTGTATGGAAGGGTTATTGTTTTTCAGTGATGT